TATTACCCTGTTTGACCATTTTCATAAGGTGCCAGAGGCAAAAAAGTGTCCCAAATGGAATGGGGTAATAAGAGACACTTGAAATAAAACTTGGTTTTAAAACGTTTGGAGCATGCAGAGTGTACTCATCCATTACTAACAGTACTCTGAAGTCCTCCTCTTCCTTTTAGACCAGGTTTCATAGTGTGGCAGAACAGTCATTGTAATCACCCATCACTGGTCATTGAGTTATTGAACATGGCAACATGCATTTGCTAGTTTTTGGTCAGTAGGTTTTCCAGTCAATAACTTTGGCAGCACTGCTTGTGAGGTCATAACTATCATACTATGAAATTCTTAAAAAGTAATCCTTGTAGTCAAATAGATTATTAGTACAAATCTAGAGTAATGAAAAGTCATTGGATCAGTAGTGTAATAAAAAAAGTCTTCAGTTCATTATTGTCTCACAAGTTACAACTTACGTTTTTTCCTTGCGCGCTCATAAGCCAGAACATTCTCTGTGCGAGGTGGCATGCCTAATGTTACTCCAACAACTGCCTACAACTTCTAAAACTTAAATGACATTGTGACAACACTTTTAGATAACAGATTAAATAATAATCCAAGATATAAAAAAAAGAACCTAGAACATTACTTAGTATTTTTATCTTCTTACGATTCATTCAAATTTGCAGGGTCGAATGAAAGAACACTAACTTATAATTTACAGAAGGCAACTGGCTTAGATTAAATTATTCAATTGATCCATATGTAAATCAATGAGCAATGGTTCAGCTCTGATATCCCAGCTTGTGTATAAGTGTCATAGGTACATTTTTTCAAGTACTTTGACTGTAGAGGAACATAACTTATTCAAACCATATTTAGATCTGATATAAGTATTAAAATCACTTGGCTGCTTAAGTCGCAAATTTACCAGGAATTTAAAAGCAAATAAAATAGCCAAAAATTTCACCATTTCTTATAAGAGAAAACGTTTCGGAGTCCAGCTCCATCGTCAGTTCAAAACCTAGAACACAGGTACAAACAATTAGTAACCTAAAATTCACATTCAAACAATTCACCTAAACTTGAGGACATTAGAACTAAAATCGAAGATAACAGAAATAAAAATGAGATGACATGTAGAGAAAGTACCATCTATTTATAATTTGTAGAGGATAGGAACTGAATGCAGCATTTAATCTGGGTTCCTGTTTGAAAATATATAATGATTCTAAAATTCGAAGGTCAGAAACACCGGTTGTGGAGGCTAAAACTCTAAAATCACTATTGGACACTGGGACGATGCACTGCTCGGCATGAATACGTACGGCTGAATGAGGGGGATGCGCAAGTATGTTCCCTGTTCTATAACTCCTACCCCTATGCTCTGCAAGCCTAGTATAAAAATTGCGCGATGTCATACCGACATACGCAGATGCGCACTGCGCACAACTATATTGATAAGCCAGGGATGATCGCATAAGAACAGGGAGAGGATCTTTGTACTTGAAAAACGAGCTAATTTTAAAATTTTCTCTTATAAGAAATGGTGAAATTTTTGGCTATTTTCTTTGCTTTTAAATTCCTGGTTATTCAAACCATGGCGGTATCAACGTCTCGGACACAGAACTGTCCGGACTCGCAGCCGGCCTCCAAATTCAGTGAACAAGGAATAACTCTCATAGTAATGAATGTAGCTCAATGAAACTTGGTACTCGTATTCATTAGGACTTAACAATAATGTTTAGCTTGTGAAATTATTTTTAATTTTGTCTTAATTATTAAGTTATTTGGTGATGCGTGACAAAATTCACAATGAACAAGACATTTCTTCCAAAGTACTGAACAGACTTGAATGAAATTTTGAATATACGGTACACTCCTAATTATCCAATGGTTATGTTTAACTTGCAGAAATTTTCTAGATTCTGCTTTTGTTTGCAAGTTTTTTTCCAGTTCAGCCTCATTTAAACAACAATGCGTGCTCAAATTTACAGTGAACAAGAAATTTCTTCTAAGATACTGAACAGATTTGAACAAAACTTGTACATAAATATTTAACCTCCCAATAGTGATATTTAGCTGGTGACAAATTTTTTTATTTTGCCTTTGTTTGAGTTATAAGCCCAGTCCTGTAAACTTACAGATACAGAAGAAATGCTTTATGGCTGCTGATATGAAGCGTGCAGTGGACAAGGTCATTATTAATACTAAATGGCTGGCATGTCCATGGATAGGGTACTATCACATCAATTATATGGATTTAATGTACCGTCAACTGAGGCTACTTGGTACAGGCAGGGCTACTTGGGACAGTCCTCCGACACGGCGTAAAACTGTTATAGTAGCAAAACTAATTGGAATATTGCAAAATTAAATATAGTGGCGTAAACGTCAACACTTTTCCTATCTATGTAGTATAAAGGAAGTTGAAAAATACTACATTTACTAGCTTTGAAAAATTCCTGAAGAAAATGGTGAAAAACGCTATTTTAAAAAGTTACTTCTGCTAAGGTCTGTAGCCAAAAAATATTTGCCGTATTTAAAATTTTTACTTACATAAAAGATGCACCCAGGTGTCGGCTTGAAAACGTAATTGACAGAATTGTCCTATCTCATTTATAAGGCTGCTGATATGAAGCTTGCAGTGGACAAGGTTGTTGTAAATGCTCAATGGCATGTTCATGGATATGGTAATATCACATCAATAATACAGTAATATCCAGTATGGCATCCAGTGCCGTCAACTGGGGTAACTTGGGCTGTGTTTTTTATTTTGTTTTGTAAACAAAAGCGGGGTCATAAACGATGGCCAAAGTCACTCTGTCATTTGTGACCTTGTTTACGACCCTGGCGTTTATGACCTTGGCGTTTATGACCCTGGCTTTTACGACCCTGTTTTTGTTTGCAAGACTAAATCAAAAACAGGCCCAAGTCACCCCAGTTGATGGTAATTAATGTTTATGGTAATATCACCAATAAATGAAAAACAAGTAAAAATCACTCAAAATGTCATTTATTCTACCTCTACATCATCTACAATGAAAGAGGAGGACTTCAAAGTACTGTTAGTAATGGATGAGTACACTCTGCATGCTTCAAATATTTTAAAATGAAGTTTTATTGCAAGTGTACCGAGTAGCCTCGTTCCATGGGGCTACTCAGGACACTCTTTTTTTTTTTTTTGCTTCTGGCACCTTAGGAATGGCATATGGAATTTTTTTTACAATGCCATTTGATAGCCCTCGCAAAGAGCTATAAAATGAGTTTAAACTTGTTTATGAAATGTTTCATCATAAGAAGTTAGTAACTGTAATATACTGTTAGTAATAGATGAGTACAATACATGCTTCAAGTGTTTTAAATTAAGTTTAATTTCAAGTGTCCTGAATTACCCAGTTTCCAGGGGTAATTTGGGACACTCTCCATTTGGCACCTCCATCTGGCACCTTACATATAGCATGTGGAATTTTTCTGAGATTCCATATGATAGTCCTTGCAATGACCTTTAAAATGAGCCCAATTTGTTTATGAAATGAGATCCATGAAGCTAATATTTCCAAAGCAGTGGAATTGAAGGCCTCGGGACACTTCACAGTCACCGCCCTCCTCCTGCTCGTGCACCAGATTGCGACGGGATTTTAACTCTTGGCGCCCTCCAGCCGCACAGTCGCCACTGCAGTTGACCTCTTGGAAGCCTTCGACAGTGTTGACCACCCTCTCCTTCTGAGCACGATCACGGCCTCAGACCTACATCATAACCTGATCCAATGGCTGTGCTGCTACCTTAGAGGCAGGCAGGCATCGTGCCTCTACCTCAGAATGCAATCGCCTATCAGAGCTATTCACTTGCGAGTGCCTCAGGGCTTGGTCATCTCGTGGCCCTCTTTAGCCACTTCATCTCCAATATGCCAGTGCCAACTTAAAAGCCCTAGTGCTCCGATATCCCAGTGCCAACTCTTTAAAGCCCTAGTGCTCCAATATCCCAGTGCCAACTCTTAAAAGCCCTTACTGGTACCAACTGGGGCTTCTCCAAGGAGGACATTGTTGCCACCTACCAAACCATCGCGTGCCCAATCCTCAACTATGCAGCACCCATCTGGTACCCTGTTGCCTCATGCACAGCAATTGCCAGCCTGCAAACAATACAAAACAGTGCACTGAGGTTAGCCACTGGCTGCCTGAAAATGGCCCCTATTGCCCATCTTCACCAGGAGCCCGGCATCCTCCCATTGTCCACTCACCTGGACCTGGCTTTTGCCCAGTTCCTTGCCAGCACCCTCCAGCCCTCCCATACCTCATTCTGCATTGTCTCTGCTCCCCTTGGGGACCGCCCCATGAAAGCCTCCATTTAGTCAAGGTTTGGCCACCTAGTCACACCATTCTTGGCTAATGGTACCCTGCCCGCTGGTGCCTACGGAGAGGCCAAGCAGTCCCCTCCGCAGAGAGATGGCCTCCTGCATTGCGGTGACTGACGCCATAAACGCCGTCCTTGCAACCCCGCCACAGCCAATTGCATCAGTGGAGGCCACACTCCCTTGCTCCTACCACTTGGCACTATCCCAGCTCCGCACGGGATACAGCAGCTCCCTGGCATCCTACTCTGCTAGGATTGGACGCTCGTCTAGCTCCGCAGCCTCTGCCTGCGCGGAGTGCAGGGATCCCCTCCAGTCCATCCAGCACCTCTTTGCCTGCCCCTTCTTCCCCATGCTCCTCAGCGTCTCCTCACTGTGGGACAGCCCCATGGAGGTAGCGACATTCCTGGCCACCCTCCCTCCCTTCGCCCATCTTCCCCCTCTTCCAGTGCCTTCCCCCCCAGCCAATATCTGATACTCCCCTCCGGCGAGCGCGACAGATGCAATAAACAACAACAGCAACATTGAAGGCCTTAACATTTCTTAATAATTTACGAGTTGTTCTTCCAGAAACTGTTGGATCTGAGTGCTCTTATTGTTTTCTTTGCTGGTCCTATTTTGTGATTCATATTTTTAATGTAAAAATTGTTCTTGCATTGCAGGAAGAAGATAGGAAACCTGTCAAACGCATTGAGGATGACTCCATCAAATCTCAACCTCTCCCTTCTGACCAGGCTGTTAAGCATCTTTATAAAAGGTATTAACCACCAAGAATTGTCTTTATATCCAAAGTATTAGATAAAAAAATGTTTATCTGTAAATTCTAGCTTATAATTATTTGATATATTTCTGCTCATTTTAGAATTCTTTCCTTGTTTTAATGGAAGAAGTATGATTCTGTCACTGCAGATTAGACTATTTATGTTTGAATTTAAGTTATGCAATGCATATATTTTTATGCCCTTCCCTCCCCAATCAGCCTTCTCCTGGACTACAAAGACTTTGTAGATGGCTGGTGGATAAACAATGCTCTCCATTTATGGAGTGCTGAAAAGCTTGATAATGCTTCTGTTAAGCATTATTTCCGCAACTATCCTTCAGCTTCCATCGAGTGGACCTCATCTAATGAATGTGAGCAAATGTTTTTTTTTCTGTTGATATGTTAATCAACTTAATCTTACTATTATGGTTGTTAAATTTTTCATCTCTCCTTGAATCTAATAGTGGTACATAATGTACCACTGAAGGAAGTAAAATTAGTCTTAACTTCTAGTTGTGAACATTTATTTTTAGCTGTATTCATCATACATGATTGATCCCAACATTGAGGTCCAAAATACTTGACTAATGTTCTCTTCTTTCCAGGCAATATAACCTGGCTTGACAGGACCAGTGCTATTAGAGCCCTGCTTGGACTCTCATGTCCAATACAATATACTGAGCCTGCCGCGCCACATTTACCTCCTTCTCCTCCACGACCTCCTACTCGACGTCACAATATTACTAAGGTATTGATCATTTACACAGTTAATAGAAATTTATTTTCACATATTTCTTGAGGAAGAAAAAATATTTGTTAGAGTTTGCTAAACAAATAAAAAGGGTTTTTTCATGGAAGCTAACATTATATTCTAACGTTTCGGCTATCTACACTTTAGCCATCATCAGAGTAAATAAGATGATAATCTGGAAAGAATAGAAATTCAGATAAGAATACAGTAAACATCAGATCAGATTTTATCTGTACAAGTTGAGGAAATTTGACATCTCTTGGTATTTTACATTGATGAACGGATTATTTTGTCTAATAGCTATTGCCTCCGCTATTCTAAGGTCTAATACTTCAGAAAAAGAATGAATTACAGAGAAACAGTCAGATATGTTGTTGGGAACAGGGCTGTTATGGTCTTCAACAAAGTGCTTGTGGATACTGCTGCTACTATAACGGTGCTGTTTACTTCTTCGTTCCAAAGTACAAGTGGTGTATCCGAGATATGAGGCATTACAGCCACTCACCTGTACTGTACTGTATTCTTATCTGAATTTCTATTCTTTCCAGATTATCATCTTATTTACTCTGATGATGGCTAAAGTGTAGATAGCCGAAACGTTAGAATATATGGATTTTTATTTCAGAACTGCGATCGTGTCTTTTTTATCCAGAATCATTATTCGACGCCTAAGTGTAATTGAAAAGGAAGTTTTTAGAAAACTTGAAAAATTGTTGAAACTCTATATAAAAATAAAGTCCGATTTATTATTTCGGAAGCTAACATGTTTTATGTTTGTACTGTAATCAATATGTAAATTGAAACCTTTTTTCATTGTGAATTGTGGTTGTGTTTTATTTCTACCAATCTCTGTTCTTCATTATTCATGTGAAAATTCTCTCACTATCTAGATTCTAGACTACGATGAACTTTTTTGGCTACATGTTTTGTATAACATTTAGTTTAGTTGCAAAGTGAAACTAAGGAAACTAGAATTTTCTAAATGAGTGAATAACATTGAAATAATTTTTGTTACAATGAAGGAAGTAGGATTTTTTGGTCAGGCATTATTTTGTATGTGACAGTATTGAAGTCAAGTCTTTTTCTCTGTTATGCTTTCAGACAACAGTGAAGCTAACTCACAAGTTCCTTCCTATTAAGAACATTTTTACCTTTAATGCAATTTTATTGAATTCTTATTCCCATGAACTTTCTGTTGGATACTGTAATTAAAAACTCTTGCAGGATGGCTTGGATGACGCATCTCAAACAGACACTCTTCAATCAAAGAAAAAACTCAAGAAGAACAAAGCCAAGAAATCGGCCACTTCTGGTAGCTCCAACAGCAGCAGCAGCAGTTCTGATAGTGATAGCAGCAGCTCATCTAGTGACTCTTCTAGCAGTGACAGTGATTCATCAGATAGCGATTCCGACACCAGTAGTGACTCAGACTCAAGTAGCAGCACTGATTCTGATTCCTCTGACTCTGATAAAGTAAAGGCTAAAAAGATGAAGAAAACGGCAAAAGCAGCAAAAAAGAAGACTGAAGAAATGGAGGTGGATGACAGCAGTCACAGGGATTTGGCTTCCTCTGCCAAAGAGGATCCAGACTTGTCTGATGAGGTGGTTGCCCGTTGAATATTTTAACTAAAGATATGTTTATTGGTATGAGGTAAAATTGCTATCTACAATACCAGTGACTAAAAAGTACTACACTCTGTAATTCACCTATATATGTATAACTTAGCTAGCATATGTGCATCATTCTAATCTAAGTTCTTTTCCGAGACGTTGCAAAGCTATTTCTTCTGAAAATTGAACTATGTTATGAGTGCTAATCAAAATACCTATTCAGGTATCAGATGCTAATCAAAATACCTATTCAGACGGTGGGTGTGAGAGTGAGTGACATACCTGTCAGTGGTCCACTACCAAAGGGACGATGGCGGTTAGGTGTGCCTTGCCCCACAACAACTGCTATTTTGCTGCGCTTTGCTAACAAAGATGATCTTGAAAAGGCTCAACAAATGAGGTGGAGGATGCAGGATTCAGGTAAGCCCATTACGAGCTCCTAATATATTTCCAAATTTATGGCTTGAACAACTTTTGAAGCAAGAGTCTTTCTTTTTATCTTTTTAATTTACCAAACCGTTTCATATGCCCGAGTTTATTACAGTTTGAAGTTCCTCAAAGCTCATTTTTGTCTGTAAAATATTTTGTGTAAATACCTTTTGTTTATTTTTCAGGTCAAGATATGAAATCTACAGTAAGGGAATCACACGACTCTAGAGAGCCACACAAGAAGAGCAGACGAGGGGTACCCAGTGCAGTGGAAGCAGAGAGAGGTTTTGCAGCAAGTCCTGAGGAGAGGAGAATTAGACGTGTTAAGAGAAGCCACCATGCCGGAGTGAAAGCAAGATTATCAGGTACTGGTTGCTCGTGTTTTCTTGCTAGAGGTTGAGATTGAATGAAGAGTTGTTGAAAGTTATTTTTTGAGTACGTACTCCTCCTGATTAGTCTAAATTGTTATTGCATGTGACAAGTTTCAGCACAATGAGCATACTATTTTCTGGTTTCTTTATTTTGCTGGAAGAAATAGAATTTTTCAACAAAAAATACCTATTGTACTGAATCAGTCATTTTTATATTGGGATGGAATTATTATAATCATATATAATTCCCTCTGTCAGGTCCTAAGCTTGGCTTGCCTGTGATGCATCCACCTGGAACAGCGATGCCACTATACTTGCCACCTCGCCCTGAGGCTTACCTGCCGCCACTGCCCCCTGGCGTAGAGCGCACCTACAGGTGAAGTATAAATTACTGTAATTGCTATCAATGGTACCATTTGCACATAATTCCCGCTACAGTAACTGATTTTAATGTGTTTATCATGGCAGTTAATTGCTGCGTTGTCATCTCTTACAATGCCTTTCTATGCTCTATATTACTGCTGACTCGGATGATGTAGCAGCTGGAAAAATCTTATGTTATATTGTTGACGTATTATAGGAAAATACGTATTGCAGAATAAAATGAATGATTAATGTTAAAGCAAAACAAAGCAAACATTTTTCTTATTATAAAAAGGGTTATGCTTATCCATCGTGCAGAGATTTAGACGACCCTGTGGTGGAAGCTGTGGACAGTAAAGACCCTTGGGGTAGTCTGGCTCAAAATTGGGGCAAGAGAGAGACCGGGCCTTCGCTGGACTACCAGGCTCTGCTGAAGAGTCATAGGCACGGTGAGTCTGTGAATAATGTATGTATCAATCATAAGTGTGTGTGTCAATCACGAATGTATCAATCATTGGGTGTTTGTGTCAATAACGGGGGAGTGTTAATCCCGGGTGAGTGTGTTAATCCCGGGCGAGTGTGTCAATAACGTGCGAGTGTGTCAACCACGGGTGTGTGTCAATAACGGGTGAATGTGTCAATCACGGGTGTGTGTCAATAATGGGTGAATGTGTTAATCACGTGTGTGTGTGCGTGTTAATGACGAGTGTGTGTGCGTGTTAATGACGGGTGTGTCAATTACTGGCCTGAGTAATTTCATGATAGAGTTCATTGTAATCGGATTCAATTATATCATGATAAATTTATTTCTAATTAATAATTTTTTTATGAATTACGTAACCTTGCTTGTTTGTTCCGAGGCCGAAATTCGGTGAAAAAATCTTCTGCAATTATTATCTTTATTTCCAGCGCTTCAGGGAACTAAACGCAAACGAGATCCGGACGATGATTCCGGCTACGATGGAGCTCGTCATAATCCACGTAATTTGGGCCGGTCTCGACACGTGCCAACCGCCGCCAGACGCGCTGGCGACCATCGCTATGAAGACTCTGGAGGTGACGATCGTCACCGATCAGACGAAGATGATGATGGGTCGAGTCAAAGCGATGCTAGTGATGACGTTGTTGCGTGGAACGCCAAAATTAAGGTATATCTATCTCGGAGTCTTCTGGTACCATAGGCCTATTTCAGACTAAGGAACTGAGTTGTATAATGATCAAGGTTGCAATAAAGCTCCTGCTCATAAAGAATACACCGGTAGAATAATGCTGTTTCTATTGTGAAGGAGTCAAGTCTGTGAAATATTTTTGTTATTTTTTCTGTCGCGTATCTGAACGTTTGGATCCGTCGTCGTTTTACATTGTGTACATGTACATCACAATATGTACGTATAAGTCTCGAATTGGAATTCATTTCAGCTACCTCGGATGAAAATGTATGCTGATGTTGAAGAGAAAAGAAGGAAAGTTCACCCAAAACGACAAATGGAAGTTCGTGAGGATGCGCAGTGGGATCTACCGAAACGAGACGAAGGTCTTCCAAGAAAGCCAAAAGGAAGCATTTTCTCCAGACTTGGAGGAGGCGATGGCCTCGGGCGCCATGTTCCTCCTGAGAATTTTAGGTAGTTGTTTTAATTCATTTATTTGTCACGACGTAGTGTTGAAGTCTTGTTCCATTAAAGCAGTCTAATCAATTGTTAATCCAACTCTCAAAAAAATTTTAAATGTTCATATTCAAAATTAAAGATCATCTCTTGTTATGCCATTAACTTTTCAGAAAAAAACCGTAACCGAAGTATAACGCTTAATTGGATTAGTTGTCGTGACTCGTAATCAAATTTCTGCTGATTTTTTTCTAATGTGTCAAGTATTAATTCATTCGTTGATTTTCAAACTTATCCTCTCATTACAGAGAGCGAGAATTTGTGGCTCGTGGAGACTGGGCAGGAGAAGCTGAGCGGCCGAGCAAACGCTACCGAGCAGAGAACCACGAGCCGCGGGGTGCGGGTGGCATGCGCTCAGAAGTCAAGACTGTGCGCAGCATAAAGGCTAGGCTGGGTGGAGGTGTACGCCACTATTGAATACGAACTTTGGGTGATATTTTTCCCCTTGCAGGTGTGATCCGTTCTAACTCTCAGAAAAGGTTGTGCCTCGGCAAGATTATCATTTGAACGGTGTTGTCAAAGTGAGGAATTAGTGTTGCATTTTGTTACCTAACAAATTCGAGGAATCGTGTAATAACCTGGCGTTGCGGTTTGTCCCAGGAGAAAAATGTATTTATACGACTTTGTAAAATACAGTAATTAGTTCATGAACCTAACCCCTGAGTGTGTAAAACTTACAGCGGAGTGTAAGGCATTACTGTAGTGATGTGTCTAGCATGTCATGACCACTCATGGCTGACCAACTTTATTGGGTTACGTACCAATTGACTGCTGCGATTTCTCAAAGTGAGGCGTCAACCGAGAATTCGCTAGTTGGAAACAAATGGCTTTTTTTTTTTTTTGCTTTCTTGGAAACACATTCGTTTCTCTCGTTTGATCCTACGATTAAGTGCAACGCTCTCGTATTATCTTCGTCGAACCAGTGAAGTTATAATTAGATTTATTGCTGAACGTGTAGATTTATATACCGAATATCTTGAATTAACGAGTTTTATGTGCGATTTCGTGGGCGACCGTGAAGCTGTTCTTATGTGAGGCGGATCTACTTTTACCGAAATTTCTACTGAGATATGGCAATTCAACTCGTAAAAAAGATCCGATTTTTATCGTTTAATATTAGCAAATTACCTCTGACATGGCTATTACAATGTCAAAATCGATTCACCATATCGCACCATCAAAGAAATTTTCTTTTTATGTTTAGTAGCCTTGCAATGAGCGTTCGCAAGATTGGATTTCTTTTTGTATTCGTTCCACGACACTACCGTATTCTGCGAGCGAGGTGTGAAAATTTCTGCTGTTATATGCCTATATTGGGGGCGCATGCATCAATTTATTTTTATTCTCGACCGTATTGCATGTGGCGAGTGGTTATCGTTTGCAGGGCATTCTCACTTGTAGAAGAATTTGTATTGAAGTTACAGCGTATTTTAGGTCTTCGACACGAGCTTGCTCGAACTTGGGGGAACATTTGTCGGGGCTCTTTCGTATTTTTATTTCATCTATTCTGATCGAATTGGGTGCCATTACGGGTTATGATGTAAGTTGCTTTTTGCAATAGCTATGTTTTACCATCATTGTGACAGCACGATAGATAGAAGTTATCTTTCGAATTGTAGCCTAGTAGTATAACAATTCTGATAATTTTTTTCAAATTTAGTAAACTATTAGATACTTAAATGATTGGAAATTTCTACAACATGGCGCTTGATGTTCACGTTTGTAGTATTAAGGCATTCAAGTGAACACTGTTTGAAAGTGGGCTTGTTGTGGTTTAGTAAAATGTTCTTGCTGTGGCTATTTATAATTACGAAAAGCGAATTTATGGCGGAAGCCGCGGAACGATGATTATTAAGTTAATAATAATGTGGATTCACATTTGAAGTTATTATCCAAAGGAAATGGGTATCTCACGATATGCGTTTGAAATCTGAAAAAACATAACTCGGTACTTACTGCAGTTAGTGACAGAGAGCGCATTTTCTCGTCGACGAAAACTTGAGGTTACGGACGGACGGACGGACAGACAGACAGACGGACATGGCGTGCACAATAGTGCATTTTTTCCATAAGTGAGAAAATGTGCTATAAAGGCAAATTAAATACGTAACAATATTTTTGTTGGAAAAAGTTATGACTTATAAGTAGGCTAATCTAATTTCCAACTTGTGCTCAAAATTTGAAGAAAAATACTTGCTGTCCACCTTTGCCGTATGGAATCTTTTTCTGGCGCGAGAATATTACGCGAATGCTTGTGAACTCAAGGTTCATGGTTGATGGGGCTAAAATCATCGATCTGGTACAATACAATCACGTTGTTATAGAAAAAATTAATTTAAAAGCACTCAACAAGATCATGTCTCAGAAGATCCTGCACCAGTAACTATTTAGGATGGGACCACTTCCTTAGAAGTAGAATCTTATTAACGTAACGAGACAATACCCTTTGAATGAAACTCTCGTTCGTCATGTATGGAAAAGATACGAAAAAACAAGTTTATTCTCAATCATCACGAATGTATTATATCGAACCTAAATGCACGACATATTTATAAAGTGAAATATTCTACTAAAGACGTTCAAAAACAAGTGTAAACATTACATTGCACCAACTTCAGGAAAATTTGGCCTAATTTCTTAACATTCAACAACCGCGTGTGTTTATAGAAATTTAGAAACCGTCATTCTCCGGCAACAGCGGATTAACAGTAAGAAAGATCCAAGATTTTGTTTATGCAACTTCAAGTTTGTATCTGTCTCTTATACACATCTAGATGTGTATAAGAGACAGGCATAAAGGCTAGGCTGGGTGGAGGTGTACGCCACTATTGAATACGAACTTTGGGCGATATTTTTCCCCTTGCAGGTGTGATCNTGTTGAAGGCGTTGTAGGCTACGTGTGTTGCAGGAGTCTGTTGAAGGCGTTGTAGGCTACGTGTGTTGCAGGAGTCTGTTGAAGGCGTTGTAGGCGCTGTCGAGTTCGAAGATCAGCTGTCGCACCTCGCTTTCCGAGAGCGTCTGGTCAGCGGTCATGCTCTCCATTCTCACCACCCATTCTCCCACTTTCTCCCGACCTTCGAAGTCCTAGGATAAACAATTTAATTTTCGACATGAACAGGCAGGATATTAACAAAACCATATGATCGTGAAAATATGCACGCGACATACTATTCAATAGAAAAATATTTAGCACATCACATTTTTAAAAAACGCACCTTAAGCCCAGAGACAGGACAATGATTTTTGCTTGAATTAATTTAAACTACACAATGACCAGGGAACAAATGTATCAAGTCTATGAAGAATTCCCGTCATGAAGATATGCCACCTGCATAGATTGTTTTATGAAATATGTAGGCACCATTGTTCATGAAATAGCAAGCATTATAGTTCAGTTGGGACTTCAATTGAATACATTCTAATTACTCGTCAAGTAATCAAAGTCCGATTTACTCATTACCTGCACTTCTGATCATCATTCTTCACAGGATAGCAAAATAATTCAGTAATTTAATCATCTGTTTAATTTAACTCCCAAGTTTAATATGTTTCCCGGTTCAAACTAGAGTTATTTAGAGTAAAAATACTTTTTTTACAATTAAACGCCAGGTGCTGCATGCACCTGCAACTGTGGTCACATTATGCGTAGTTATACCACAAACAGCAACAAAGTTTTAACCAGGCGATCATAGTTCACTTATGGCTCTCTCGAAGTCTCGAAGGAAAATAAACACATCGGGTTGCACTAATTATTAGCAACAGTATTTATGCATTACTGATCAAATTGTGGGGTCTGCAGTACCGTACATTTATCGGGACGGCAGTACGTGCCGGAACAGCTCTATTGAGACAGTAGCCATATCTTAGAAGCGGACTCTGACCAACTTACCAGCAATGTGTGACGTCTCATAAAACCTTAACAGGAAACGGTGGCCAGAGACCTCATCATACGGGACATTTCATCACCATATCAAATCATCATTGTGAGATTTCATCATTATAGCCATTCACCATAAAAATTCATCATTGCATAAAGTGCATATTGCACACATACGTACACGTAGGTTAGGTTAGATTAGGTTAAATCGGTAAAGGACGAAATGATGAAATGTCCCAATGATGATAAACCGCATGAAACACTTCATAGGACGCTACAAGTGATTTTACAAAGACAGAGATAACCAAGTCTTAAAAGTCTCTTTTAAAATCTTGCATGACAGGAATTCTTGTAAGGTCTGGTCACGTACGGATGGAATGAGGGAGAGTCTGCCCATGCTCTCGTGCAGCTCCTTCAGGTCAGGCTGCAGGTCGTCGTTAGCATTGATACCAAGGCGCAGTTTGTCCATTGAAGTGATAAACAACTGGAAAGTAAACCATCAACATAGTACACCTCTTTGAAATGAAATTTTGTAAGGAAAAATTGGTAAGCCAAATTGCCAAAGCATTATGCCAATGAATATAATCAGCACACCGTTGAGTACATTTTTTCATGAACTTTAATTACCTTCCAAGAAAATTTAGACCAATAGGTTAAAATTTCGGGGAGTTTCATGACACTTTTGAACCTTTTTTATCAAAGGACTGATAATATATATCAATATATATATTAACAACACATTTCAACCTATTAGTCTCGATTCTATTGACTTCCAAGAAAATTGAGACTAATAGGTTAAAATTAAAAGCAGTTCCAATACAATTTAAACCAGTCAATCAGTAAAGTAATTAAATAAGAAAACTTTAGTAAACAAACCGAGACAATGTCAGCAATGCATTTGCTGGTGTTGCCTTTATCATCTTTGATGGTGATTGGTCGGTCCTCTTTGATGCGCTCTAGTGCGGCAGTGCAATTCATCTGAAATTATTAACAAGCCATGATGCTTTAATCGTAAATTTCAACCACTTTAGTGAGCGAGTTACAATAGATGGTTAGTCATTTCAAGTCATCTCCTTCCCCATACACCCACCATGGCCCCGAGGTTTGTGTTGGGGACCACATTATCATACCTCTGCCAAACATCATTTACCATCTGGTAGTTTCATACAAAGCATCACCGCCTATCATGTTCAAATATTATAATATGGGCACTTAAATTACGTTTTCAACTTAGCCCACAGAATTGGCACTCATATCAACGTTTTTCAAATGATGCAAGCAGCAATATATCCATCAAATTAAAGTGACTGGATGAAATTGAAATTAATTAAAGTTAGAAAGCTACCTTGCACATTAGAATGTTTACAATTCAATTGTTTAAATTTTTCAAAACATATTGACTGTATTTAATAGATTCTACAACTGCGATTCATTCTTTCAATGTGCTAAATTGTGAACAACACATAGAAATAAATATTTATAAAACTGTTCCAACTTTCTTTTTCTGGTTTCATATATATATATATAAATTTATGCATATTTCTATGTGTGCCTGCTACAGATTTAAGTAAACATTCCAGAATGTTCCATCAAACTAAATCCCTGAACATTTGAGGTGGAAAATGACTTAGATGATTGCACATAAAAAGTAAAGAATCTGATCTGTTTATGTTTTGCAGTTAACATAGCCTTGGTTAATCAAAGGCAGAGGAGCCATTTATAAATGTAACAGTATACTATCTACAAATACTTTCTCATTGTCACACCTTACCACACAAATAGAAAAATTTTAGCTTTTCTATGGTTCTAGAAACTAATATCCACCAAAAAAACAACTTTGAATCATGTTTAGATTTGACTTACTTTGTATTTTGAGACAAATGCTCCTATGTTTGGAAACTCGTCACCTTGCACCAGCTTGAAGGCAGCTTTGAACTGCACCAACAGCTTGCTGCACCATGCAGTGTACTCCTGTGGGGGCACCACATCCTGGAAAAAATGCAAAAGAAAAGTAAACTCATGCCCTTAAATTAAAAAACAGTAAACACAAAAAATATGAAGTAACGTTACATCTTTTTTGAAGAGAAGGAAGGAAAAAACATTTTTCCTAGAGCAATTTTAAGCCACTTATAGGCATATAGGCAAACATGATACTACATGTGCACACTTGCCTCAATCAAAATTGATATTTTGAATTTCATTTACTAGCCATTCATGCTCTCTAGAGCAGCAGCAGTGGAGACCAAACCAAAATGATGCCTTCAGCTGATATTGCATGTGCAGTTTCTCAATACTCACTTTTATGTACATTTTCTCTAGATTTTGCAGGGTGTTGACCACAGCATAAAGCTCAGCTTGGTTGTCATTCCTAAAAAAAGAGAAATAAAAAAATGTGTAACTCAAAATAGCAATCACGCAATTTGCAAGTTGAATTCTCCACATATGCTTCAAATATAATTCATCAACTAATGGCAGCCTGGCAATTAAATTTATTCACATAAATTGAATATGCAAGTCAAATGCAAGCATCATTTAACTCAAGTTTTAAGGATTCTAGCCTGCACAACCACTTAACCCAACAACTGCCCTTACTACACAACTTAACCCCACAACTGCCCTTACTACACAACTTAACCCAACAACTGCTCTGCCTATACAACTTATCCCCACAACTGGCCTGCCTATACAACTTAACCTCACAACTGCCCTGCCTACACAACTTAACCCTACAACTGCTCTGCCTACACAACTTATCCCCATCCCCACAACTGCCCTGCCAACACAACTTATTCCTACAACTTCCCTGCCTTCAAAACAACTAAACCCAAAACTGCAGTTCATTCCCACTGCTCTGCCTACACAATAACTTAACCCCACAAGCCCACAACTCCCCACACAACAACTATCCCAGTGGATACAGTTCAGAGTACCAGGATTGGAGCAGAGAGGTGCAGGTTTGATCTCAGCTCTGTGCGCCAGTTTCTGGACAAATTTTGCAAGGAGGCTGGGCAGTTAAGCACAACAGAATTATAGCAGTGAGTTGTATGTTCAAGATCACAACAAGCAGTGAATGTTCTGTAATGTTAAGAATCAGCAATAGGCCAACAGCCTAAGTAATAAAGGCTGAAACTGCTATATAAACCACTAACTTCACATCTGACCTGCCTACACAACTGCCCTACCTACACAACAATGTAACTTGACCCCATGACTAAAAGATGCCTAACATATTAATTATGAATCTTTCATTGGTAGAAAGAAAAACAATAGTTTCTTTTCCTCCAGCTACAGTTTAAATTCATTGATTCAAGATTCAAAGGAATTTTAATGTTCATCAAACACAAGAAATCAAATTTAATAAGGTACCTACCAATACTGAATTTTATTTGTTAAAAGAACTTTTCATTGGTAAAAAATCATCACTTATTGTTCAAGTTGTATACCAGCATCTTTAATAAAGGAGGAACTTTAACCAATGTACAGCATCTTTACATGGCATGAAGTATCAATGAAAATGAAAAAACAGCACTTTATTCTGTACTTATGCAAAAGTCTCATTAACATATTTCAATTTCTTAACAAGTAAGGTTATAAAAATGTTTCATGACAGCCAGGGTCTGGCTATCAATGATTGATGTTTATCTTTGTTACATCCAAGATATATTCTATGTTCATACAGCATATTTAATAACATATATCAAACTTTATATATTGAACTCCAGGCAAATGATGTGGAAACAATAGTGATTATGAGTTGATTTTGTTGAAACAATGTTTATTCAATATTATATTAACATGTTGACTCCGATTGCTTAATCTTGTACTATTATTTTATTCTTTTTATGTTTTTAAACAGGATTGCCAGATGGTAATTTTTTCCGGAAAAATTCCATGATTTAGTTTTTCTCAATTGCATTGGCTGGCTAAAATTTCTGATAGGGGTACTTCCTAATTAAATTTTAAATACTGTAAAAATAAAATAAATTAGATTTATACAGCAGAAACTACAAATAAACTAGTATATATTGAGTTATCGGCCTTTTGGGGCCTTTTTAGCGCATTTTCTCATTTATGGAAAAAATGCACTATTGTGCTTGCCATGTCCATCTGTCTGTCTATCCGTCCGTCAGTCAGTGACCTCAAGTTTTTGTCGACGAGAAAATGCGCTCTCTGTCACTCACTGCTGTGAATACTGAGTTATATTCTTTATTCTGGGACTTGGCTGTATTTTAGGCAAACTGAATTATGTACCACTACGTCCTGGAGAAATACATTTTGTGGTACCATACGCTTGTGTACCACTACGGAGTCAATGTGTTAATGTCAGATGCCTGGTAGGTAGATGCTTGACTTACTTTTCTCTTTCTCGGGCATTAGAATATAGCTTGACCTCTTCATAGAGTTCAGGTTGGCTATGATCTGGAACATAGAAATTATTCAAGACAATTTTCATTATAACTCAAAATCATACATCAATCAAATGAACAATCAGAAATAAAAATTGTTGGTTGACTATTGCATCTTCTTCTGCCACAAGACAGAATATTAATTCAAAATACCTTTGAAGAAAATGAATAAATTTTTAAACCTTCTTCTAAAATGATACTGTACTTGTTAATAATATCTACCTGAACTCCTGAAGTCCGTAACAAAGAACTCCTGAGTCCTGAAGTCCTGGTGATATGCTAGCAGCTAGAATTTAATTTGAAATGCCACAACTCAATCTAGCTCCAAATCCGACAAGTGTCAGATTCATTGCTTAGACTGCGGGCTCAAAATATTGTCGTTATTATTTGAAATTTAATGCCACAACTACTTTAGATTCCAAGACTGACTACCAATAAAATTTTTCAAGGACAGTTTTAGACAAGTTACCAGCGTTACCTTATTTGTCAAGATCTTCTAGATATATAATTCAATGCTGGTGCAACCAAATTTACCAAAGAGCTATTTATATATTTCACTTTTTTACTAACTACTATTATTTAAGTAGCCAGTAGTGGCCCAGTACTGAAATAAACAGTTTAATTTTTCTAATCTTGTACCTAGAAAAATGAATCATAGTTGACTATGCCACAAAGAATTTCAAGCATGACCTGATGACCATAGCCCTTTTTTACTTTTTTATAAAAAATTTGATAAACATTACCAAAAATCAAAATATATTTTTGATAAAGTGAAATAATTTTCATTGTAGCCACAACCATAAATAACATACAAGTTCCCACTAAGCACTAAGCAGCTCTTGCAAGTTACACTTAACTTGTTTTTTGTCAATTAATCTTATAAAAACCATATGATTCCAACATTCCATTTCTTCATAGGTTATCATTTCTTGCTTCCAGAACTATAATTAATTTAGTGATTTCAATTACCAGTCACCACATAATAATTAAGACTAAGCACTAGTGCACTACCTAACTAGCCACTAAGAAGCTTATATGCTAGTACTAGAAAAGGTTGACTGAGTTTAGATAACAAAATTGATTATTTCATATGAAGGCTGGCAACTAAAGTGCAGTGGAAAACTGGCAGTGTTAGTGACAATGTGGCTGCGTGGCTGCCGTGGCATGATGGCATCAATGATCAATGGTAAGTTATTGGTAACAACTAACAATGAACATTGAACATTACACATTCAATTTTCTTTTAAAATTGACCAAAAATTTTTAATTTTTCCAATAGTTTTGAAAAAAAGTAGGACTAGAAAATTTTAAGCCTATCTATGCTCAACTCAGTCAATGATTCTGTGAATTTATGTTGAATGTTTAGGTTCAATTTTGTAGGTACCTAGCCTACCACAAATCAGGCGGTCCAATTTCAGATTATTTAGACTCAACTAATACAAACCTGAAGGAGATGTCAACCCAGCAAACATCTTTTTTGGATATATTTGCAGCTAATAATTCGATATTAAAAAAATTATTATATTAAAACGAGTCTTTTGCGTAATTTTTCTTCCGAAAAAGAAGCCTTTCTTTATCTGGAACAATCTTGGCTCTATTGTCAAGGCTCGAGGCTAAACAAAAAAACAACTAGTACCGTAAACAGAGAGTAACTTTCCTTCGTTCAAATCAAGTTCGTATCATTAGACTTATCCTATTCATTGTGATAGAAGCACCGAGACTCTAGCTTTATCTCTATACTCGTTTAAAATTTCAACAATTTCTACTGAACTTTTTTTTCATCTAAATTGGTAACTGATTGATAGCGGAGTGATGTTCCTCAACGTTCCGCTGCGACGGATAATATTACTTCATTTAAAGTATAACGTTAAGTTGCCCTTATAAAGACCCTAACATCATAATTTCACCGCAATGGCTCAGAATTTTTGTTTACACTTTTTTAATTTATAGTAAATATCTTAGCCCGTTGGGTCTGAAGATTTAGGGCTTGGTGATACTAAATAGTCATTCAGTATTCAGGCCTTTATATCGGTTATCTGCCACGCATCACATATTCGTTTATTTTGATAGATGGAGAGGAAAGTGAGGTAATGTAGGATCAGAGACTAGAGAAAAGGGAAAGTTCGTGTTAAGGGTTAGACGAAAGACAGGAGGGAAATAAAGTTTACGGAAGAAGGTATTGGAGCTATTATTGCCGTTTCTCGTTGTTGGCAGTGTACTTTTTGAAACTTGTATAAATATTGGGAGCTCTTAGGACATTAATATTTTTTTATTGCTATTGTTACTATGTTATTTTTATTACTTCTTTCTTTGCACCCCTTCAGCTTCCGTTTTCACTAGCCTGACCCTCTCCCTCATTTACGAAATATCGCTTTCCGCTCTCAGTCATGGAAACAGTCAATCCTGCTAACAGACCCACCATCGTTACAATCCAACTCATCTCCCGTTCTTTCATACATCACGCATCACCCTAACCTTCAAAATCACTGTTATTATTTCCAGTTTTCCCTTCTCATATGCTTGAAACTCCATCATCAGTTCATGGTTCATCCATGTATCAGGTGTTCCACAGTGTTCAGATCGCGCGGACACTTTTTCGGCCGGTCTCAAGTGTCATTGAGGCTAAAATAGCTCCTAAACAATCAAACTTTGCATAAGCGTCCAATAGGACCTAACGGCTATGATTAGGTCGTGACAATTTTTTTTCGATTTCGCCTTAGTTTTCGAGTTAAACCAATACCAGGGACCACTGCTATAAACTAAAAAAATGCTGTGTAACACACACATGCGACAACGTTTCTTCTCGCTTCCAGTCACCGACATGTGTAATAGCCTCCCTGATAGCATCGTTGACGCTCCGAGTAAGAACGCCTGCAAGAACGGACTAGACGAAGCTATGCACGAGCATATGTTTAGTCGTAAAATGCATAGCACTCTTACGGACTAGGAAATTAAGGCTTGTTTTTCAATACCTTCTCTACTTCCTAAACTGAACTATTCTAAATTACATCGACGTCAAATACGTTCTACTGAGATCGCTCAAACGTTTACTCGGATTACTATGTTACCGTTCAAATTTAAGCTTTGATTTAGAAAAAATGCTCAATTGCTGGTGTTTCTATGTATCTTGGTCGGAAGCTCATCATAATCGATTGTCAAAACGTACCACAATGTCAGGAACAAAAACGATGGCGACTTCGTTTCGTTTCAATGGATTTCAAATCGCGATCTTAGATTGAAAGTGCTTGATTCAAGTAAACTTAAATCAGGAAATTAACCCTCTACCGTCGTATGTCACTCTGCGGGAACATAACTTTCAACTTGAATTATACGTAACCTATTGAGTGTAGCAACCGGAGGACGTTTGTACGCTACATAGTACATCTTCAAGTTGTCGTGCGTGGCGGCAAGTGCCGCCGGCAACCATCAGCGCAAGTCAGTTGGCGCTCACTAGAACATATCCTTTTTGAAAAGTAGGCTTGCGACAATATTGCTCCGGTTACTCATGCCAGGCGGTAGAGGGTTAAGCTACAATTAGCATCACCATATGCGAGACCGCTACATCAACATACTGACGAGCAGTCAGAGCGCAATCATCAGTTGAGACGGCGACATTTATGAAATTTTGACCAAGAGAGGAAAATAAAATAACAAATGTTATACATTCAATTTCTCTATTGATCTATAATCACTCACAAAAATCTGAAAATAAACTTATGAGCCAACATGAAAAAGTAACCTCCATACGTAAGTACGGTAGTCTAGAGACCGCGTTAGCAGTGACCAGTCTTAGTCTAGATTTTTTTTTTATTTTCTTTCTTATAGATGGGCATGTCTAACACACACGGTAATGATAAAAAATATATTGAAACACTATATGTTGAATATTGAAATACATATATGATACGTTCTACAGATAGAAGCAGAGATGTTCCGACGAGGTATTATACTCACAATATGCAGACATTTCAAAGGTACCATTTCCAAGAAGAAGCAGCAACGAGCCAGCTCTAAGAACTCTAAAGGAGTGGAAAAGTGAAACTATCTCTCACAGAATAAATACACGTATCAGATTATAGGTTTTTTTTGGTAACTCTGGTCGAATATTATGAGAATATCCCGTCTTAGCGCTGTGCGATATAAAAGAAACCTGCTTGGCTGGAGTAGAACTGGAAGCAATCTGCCTGAAATAGCTTAACGTTCACGCAAAACATTCCTACGCTACAAATATGATAGGATAAATAGAATCATAATATCTCTATGAGTAATGAACAACGAGAATAGTTTAAAATAATCTGACATAGAAGTATAACGGATGAAACAATAGAGATTGGATCATAAAATGGCTGCGTTTGAGTTCATTGATACTAAGACGGACGCAATCATGTAGACGACATGGACTCCCTCCTGTTCTATTAGGTACCCCAAACGAGCGTAGGTGCTGATTTGCAATTGCAATACTGCAGTAATTAGTCGAGAACAAAGTGATTTTTAGACCACTATTAAATAGAAAAATTTTCGGTTTCATTAATTCCTGAGCAGCAAAAGGTGTTAGACGAAACATGTTTAGAAACGTAATACCCGTTTTACGGTGGCTGTAAGATGGAGAAAGATTAAAATAAAATCCTTCACAGCTACAAGAGGAATTTAACGTTTTAACATCAGCCGTCCAACAAAATGTGGAAAGCAGGCAGAAAACACAAACCAAAACAAAGTATTCATATGCGTAGCAAAGAAAGATGCAATTACTTAGCCACTTTCACTACATACAATCTCTACATAATAATTATTAGTTAGGATATATATCTATAAAATTACAAAATAAAACAATTATCATTGATGACAATTCAGTATTGTTAGCAGCAACAGCTATCGTGGAAAAACATCAAGCAAAATGACTGAGCGATCGCCTTATCATCCATTACGAATAAGGCATCGCAGCTGGCCGAGAATAGGAATGGAAGGGAGGTCTCAACAGCCTCGCCCGGGATAGTTGAAAACTACACATGTACAAGGTCCAAGGAAGTGGCACCTAACAGATGAGAACGTCACAAATACCAGAGATGCATTTAGGATGTCTTGTAAGAGAGTACAAGCTCATATAGACAAGCAAAGCTTCTACGTTCCAAATTTAGCTCGAGCAAACCTGATCAATTTTGAACACTGTTAAGGATGACGTCTAAGAGGAAGTAATTACCGACGTTCACTCAGAGAATACACAGAAGAACAATTTTTAAAGGCAAATGTGGCGTGCATAAAAGGGATTACTCACGTCAACTGATTTTCAATTTTCAATTCATAATGAAGAAACCCACAATCGTGATCACCTAAAACTATCCTAAAAATTTAGAGGAAAACACAACAGATTTGGATACAAGATTTAGAAAATCCTCATGTCGATGAAACCAAGCAAATTTTCCGTTTTCTTGCTAAACGTTAAATTCATCAAAATAAAATTCCTCTCAAATGTACAACACAGGAATCTTAGTTAAACCGAGATACAAGTATTCATTTGTCATGATAACATAAAAGAGAAAGAACAATCCGTAATTTAACATGAGATCGATTTAATGCTTGTTCAGGTGGTGAAAGCTCCCCTCACTCTACAGTAAGTCTATGTTAGAACAAAATTCCGCACAAATAATGGACACGTTTGACGCTCGATCATTGTGGCAGTGATACATAAGAATGCTGAAAGCACGATAACTCAGCCTTATGAGCATCGTTACTTAATCGCTGCGTTAATTATTAACGACTAATGCATGATAGGCAATTGTTTACCACATACAGAGCAAATTTATCATTGGACAGAAAGTTGTAGTCTCTAATCACTATTATTTCGAAGATTGTACGGGCATAGATGAGTAATAATCAGGATAACACACTTCAATAAACAAAGAGAAATAATCTCAGCAGCTGCATTACTCCCTACGTCTTGTTGAGCATGGCTATTATGATACGCAGATACGTTTATTGAACAGCCTGGTACTGCATTCGTAAAATTTATGAAACTCTCAATAATTCGTACTGTAAAAATACACGAGCACCGATGAGTAAAGCTAAGCATTACAAGATCAATATGAGAACAATTAAAGTTTATTAATTAAACACTTTGTCACGCACTCTTCATCGATAGCAAAAATATACAATTTTGTAGAGGTAAAATTTGTATAATTTATGAAGCGGTTGGTTTTAGCAATTTTCTATCGACTTGATATAGGTATTTGATGTTCGAAGTAAACTTGAAACTCGTGGGAAATGGTTTAGAAAGTTTTGAGAAAGTTTTTGTTGGTGCAAGTTTAAAACTTCGAATTTTCGAATGTAATTCAAAATCAGGAAAACCACAACCATAAAATTATCGCCGCAATATTTTGTAAAGGCGTAAGTTCAAGGAAAAAAACATCTATTGCAAACAAGGCAATATGTCAATAGAAGATCATCGCCAAGCGCGGAATATTTTATCATTTGTCGCTTAAAAATGACAAGCATTCGGGAGAAAATAATCTTGACAACAGCAAAAACCATATCAACAAAAATTTATGAACTTTGCATATTCAATATCATATATACCTAATTTAGTTTCAATAATATATAATAATAATATACTTCTTTATATAATTGTAATACGACATTGTGACTATAACCGATGAAGATGAAAGAGATGCTTTGATCAAATGTAGAGAACCTGGAACGAACTCTTTGCTCTTCGGAAAAGACATTCATGGTTGCAATAATGAACAGCAAGCCATAAACGTTATTAAAATACTTGCAATGATACAAATTAAACATTCTCTATAAGGTCGAATGAAAATATCATGCATACGTGTGCACGAAAGCCGCCAAGCTCCCTACACCACATGCAAACGACACAGATGAGGTTGACCAGACTGGGAGGTACAAATCGATTCTAGAGCTGTTTGTTGCTCACCCCGGCCTTCCACTTCAGCGTCGCAATAAGAATGCCTCTTGACACCACGTTACATGCGATAATTGTGGTTGTTATTGAAATATACTCAACTCGATGGAAATTATACACTTGACAGGACTACAGTTCATTTGAAACGCAGCCGGAGTGTTCCGTAAACAAATTCGAAGTCGCTTCTTTGTCTCATGTTTGAATGTTCGATTTCAGAAACACAGACATCCTATGATTCTGACGGAACAGAATTCAGTTGGTTAATTAAACAGAGACGACGTTCAAACGAGTCCCATTTCTCGAGTTCAGTTTGGATTGTTGGAGTAAAGTTCATCTCTATTGCTCGCACAACAAAATTTCCACTTTTCTTGGTAAATTGCAATTACTGGGATTCTAAAAAAAAACTTTGAACCAGTGATAGGAGTTCCGACAGCACATTTATTGCGCGACTTCAAGCTGCAGCATTGCCGCGACGCAGAGGCATATAGAAGGCCGAGGTGGCAACATGCAGCGTTGTCCACGGCGAACATGATATAAACGCTATAGAAAAATATATATATTCGTCAAATTTAAAATTAGCCTCAACTCGGAGATAAAAATAAACAATTCAAGAAACACGAACGAGAGCTAAAGATTTTTTTTATTTTTTTTATGTTATTGTACAATTTTATGTCGACTTTATTCAGAAATTTAGCATGCTTCGTTATAAGCTAGGCAGTAATTGAATATATCATTTAAAGACGTATACAATAAAAATAGAGAACAGGGCTACAACAAGATACACTTATTTAATGCTAAGGGATAGGAAAGTAAGTCACGCGGCATGCAAAAAAATCTCTTATCCAAACAAATACCAACTACGACACACCTTACCTTGGATTGTACCAGATTTCACTCTCACTTCTTACAGTCTATACGTGAGAGTAGAGCTTTGATCGATATCGCAGTGTTTCCATTCGAAATATTCAAAATGGACTTTCTTAATTCAATTACGGAATTTTGGACCTCATCATCTTCAATCTAAAGTCCTCGTACAGATTTTGAACGTATCATTTTTTTTTTATTGTAAACAGGACAACGCTAGCCACGTTTAGAGATAGGCAAATAACTGTTCAGCTCCAAGACACTCATTTCATCATTTGATCTTTCTTTCAAATAATCAAGTTGGTCAAATCTTGCGCTGTAAGGACAATAAATAGCTTGTTAATTCATTCAACGCAGTGCTGGCGAAGCTAATTTCAAATACCGAATGGGCTAGTCCATCAAGTGTTACAATTTTTTAATTCAGTTCCGCATAAGGAATCTTAGGGAGGCCAACAACAGGCAAAGGGAGGAAAAATCGGAAGTAAAACATGCAATAAATAATAGTTGGCATCCGGTAATATTGAGCAAATTAATTATCAAACCTAGAGTGGTGGAGCACGCAACCAAACAAATATCTTGCACTAGTTATCAACACGGCGATCCGGTAAATTAAATATACGTTAGCACTGGCGAACGAAATACGAACCGTCGTCAGATTCGTGCATGGGAGTACCAATGATGCCTCCAACTATGTATAAATGTTATTAAAGGAACAATATGGAGACCGACTGCACTACGTGAACACAATTGTTATAATCGCACGATGCCTGTAAGGCGATTAACTATGGGCACAAAGTGAGACTAAAAAGGATCTGGAAGCGAGGCAGTTGCTCCACCACTCTTTCCCTCGAACCATGTACACGCTGTGAGCAACGCTGGAGTGCGTTCACTCAAGCATGAACGTTCTTTTACAATCACACGGTTTATCTTTATACTATACACTTGTAGCAAAATAAACTTTACGTATATAAAACCCATGCATCGAGGCCATGTATGAACTCGTTTTACAATGCAGCTCAACTGCTCTGCGTGATTGCTTAAGATGGAGAGCCGCTATGAACCGACTAAACACGCTACTTTTATTGCTTCATTATCGAAAGAATTGTAGTACAATAGGAATAGCAATATTGAGTAAAGTGTAGCACAAATGTAGAGAAAAGAGATAGAGAGATAGAACTCGACTACTCACTCGAATAGCTGGAACTTTAAAATATGTTATCGCCTAAACTATACGATTACAGAATGCCCTATAGAAATATATTAATCGATTAAGGTTAGTCATACTTAATGCCCGAGCAGTCGAACAAGAAATTCTCCAACAAGATCCAGACTTGAGAAGAACTCGATTATGAGCTGGCCACCTCAGAATTGCGAATTGGAATTATTAATTATTATGCCATAAGTTAACATCTTTAGAAAGCAAAGGCAGGACTCTCAAATACTGAACTCTGACTAGGCAGTTGATTTAATTAATGATGAATTATTTTGACTTCTCTCAAATCGGCTTCTCATTTGGGAACAAAGATACACTCAATCGAGAGTTGCGGGAACATTCCTACTATACTCGAATTTATACGCCACACAATTATACCACTGAAGCATTATCCATCATACAAGACATGTAAAGTTAAATGGACAAAAGTATATCAGCATGCCTAGAAAAAGACTTTATTGAGAGGTGTTAAGAAGTTGTCTTTCTAGTCGAAATGTTTAGAAAGTCAAAGCTTAGCTGAATTCTTCCGATACAAGAAGCCCGAGTATTAATTAACCAAAAATATGCCTAGAACGCTAAGAGAAAATGTCGGCATTAATGGCAACTTCGTCTTTCTAGGACAAGTATGTAATGCCCTGCGCCTACAGTGACAGTAACAATTTCATCACGGTTCTTGAATGAAAAGATTTGTAGGCCAATTTCTAGAGTCCAGTATGAGTGGTTGGAGCAAAGTTCATCTCTACAACTATCACTGAAAAAATAAAACTTGTCATGAAAATAACTTCTATTAAAGTAGGTCTATGCAAAATAAGAAGCCAGATTCCGTAGGAATTAAGCTAAAGAGATCCTAGAGTGAGTTATCGCTAGTTAGCTCTTAAGGATACCATTCAAGAACATGCACTACTTTACTTTAGATTTTCAAAAATAAAGGCGCAACATACAGTTTACTATTTAAGTTAATGTAGAAAAGTACAAAAAATAAAATCAGTAGTGTGCATAGGTACGTGACTAACTTTTCACCACTTGCGACTGAGAACCAGACACGTGCACGGGCGTTTAGCCATCAACCTTGCGCTTTGTTCAGAGCTTATAATGCAGATGCGCGGTCAGTCGCTGCTTTCTCCATGCAGATCTTAGTCAAACGCAACAAAAATCAAACTGATCCGACGCGACTACCGCACCTAAATATAACAACTCCTTCGGGAACTTAATGCCACGATAACTACGATTGGCCTGGTTTGTCTAGCCAAAGCTCAGTCCAAGCAAGATTTGTGCGTTTCCGTTCAGAGGAGCACATACAAACACTTCCGAGTCTAGTAACTTCTCTAGAAACTTCAGCTACAAGACGCTTTGAATAGGTCAAGTCCTCTATAAAAACCTGACCGATAGTACAACATTCCTATGTTCCGTCACTGGAACACAGAAAACCATTACTTCTATAAGGTATACACCTAACGACCAACTAGTCCTGAACTAATGAGTAAAGTTGAACAGTCAAGAGAGTAAGAGAAAAAAAGTATAGTTTCGAAAGCTACGAGTGATCACGTACTTCGTGATCATGTCCAGCTAACAGCCCTCAATCGCACCTTTGGAAGACTGTTGAACCAGCTAGGCTATTGCTCAAAGAAACTACAATGATCGCTTCCAAGTGCACAATTAAACTAACCTCCTCGGAGAATCCTCGTGTAATAAGTGCATAGATTAAAAGTTCGCAAATTTAGGCTGCAACTAAAAAGCGCATTTCAAGCCGAGAATGTCGAATCCTTCCTATTCCTTAGAACATTCTTTAGAATCGTTATCGCATACATAGCGATTAGATTCCCGTCTTCGCCATTATCTTCCATCACATCACCACTAACCGCCGATCACGCCTGTTCACAAAGCTCTGAAGCAACGTCAACCTATAAGCAGTCAATCAACAGAGGCTTCAAATGTTAACCTATTCGTGTATACGCAGACGAGCACTTTCATTTTCAAGACGTTAGTTATGATGTTAGTTATAGCAGATTTACATGGTGCACGCTCTACTTAGGGGCACAGCAGGTATTCTAGAGAAAATGCGGCAAACAATTGGCTCCAGGTAAAGAAAAACGTGAGGACGACTGGCGTTAGGGTGCAAGAAACTCATACTTCAAGGCTTCACAACTCAAAACTTTAGGCAACTAAAAATAAATCAGACATAGGAAAGGAATAAGTAAGCTTAAGTTAATTCGGATCTGTTTAATAGTTAAATTCTCAACAGAAACCTTCAGAGGCATTTCACCGCACAAAATTGCGGATCAATGATTTCCTTTTCGTATCAAAAAATAAACTTCCTTGACGAGTACAAAATGAGACAAGACATGGGAATAGGACGAAAGCAAGGTCAAGATGAGGGGACGAGAAAATGAATATTCACGTCAGTATAAGATTAGTACACTCAAGAGCGTCCTAGGAGTCAAAGGATGAAATTGGACGACTAAAGCGAATCTAGAACATGTTCATCCTAACAACCTAAAGTCAATCGACAGTGGTGGTAAAAGTACTAATTAAACTTCAATTGCAACAACTAATACATCTGATAAACCATATATTAAAATATACAGGAAATATCGCTCCAGTCATATGCTCTGTTTATAAATTTGCTAGAGAAACAAAATTGGACGCTGAATCTTTAGCACTCTGTGACACGGTAGCTGAAGTACGAAAATTACAGCAACAAGAATGCCTACAGAAGACCATGGACTAGCATTCAGAGGCACACCCTGTACGTCACCAGCCCAAGTTCCAGCTTAGCATTACTAGCTCATATTCAGGCGCCAACGTATTTCAACTGCATTACACGTTGTACAATTTGAAGAAGATTTGGTGCACTATAAATGAAAGAAATGGAGACTCGCTGGAGGTGATGGCCGCTATTTTCGACGCGTCATGTCACGAGAAAATTCAGTTTGAATCAAAGAGATTCAGCGTCCGGACAACAGAAAATGAGGAACGATTTTTATCTCTTGTATGCAAGATGGGTTAACAAATCCTTCAGCCAAGCTTCTGACGAGCAAGCCATAATGCCCTCGACAATAATGCTACTCTTGAGAATCACCTTGGGTCACAAGTCTGGCCACAATCTGAACCTCGGTATAAGCATTTCCTCAGGAACAAATATCTACACAACACATGTCTCTAGCTCTGAAATTTCAAACTTTATAATATGGAAACAAATTTCATTACTGCTACTCTTACTAATATAATCATACTGCAATTTGGATCCATTCCAAAATCAAAGAATTTCGGGGCGTTCACATAGGAAAATAATCTATGGTAAACTTTACAGTAACTAACTGTACTCTATCGAATTGATAATGCTGCCGGAGCATTCGTTAATTGACGCCGAATAAAACAAAAGGGTCCACAATAAAATAGTTTTAAGCTCTCTAAAAAAATTATGGTAGAAAACAATTTTCTTTAATGTACTAAAGAAGACTGAAAGGAGTAACCTCCTTAACGTCCGTCAGTAAAGAAAAATTTCTGAATTAGGCACCAGCCGTCATAGGCCGAAGCCATGATGTAAAACTTAAGAAATTAACCTATAACGAGAAATAATTTTTTCAAAATAAGAAAGCAATGGAGAAATCATTTTCTCCGTCCACACCCTACAATAATGCACGAGAAATAATAGCAGGCTGAGTAAACCTTACAAAGATATCTTTCTACTCTGCACAAATCCTGTCTCCAAGAGAAAAACGATTGCAGAAATCAGCATTGTCATTGTGTCAAGGAATTGCCAGTCCCTCCATGTTATTACTAACGACAAAAGACCTCAAAGCAATTACTTCTAATTCAATTCAAGTTCATATCCACGACGATGGCATACATGAAGGGTTGCCAAACCTAAACTGGAAGCTAACTTCACCGAAATTCAGACGATATGTCTTCGTTGCATAGAGATGAGCAGCACCGTAACGATGGCAGCTCTGAGGTACAAGTCAAACTTTTAGTGACAAAGAAAAAAAACTTTCTTAGAAAAATGAGCAATAATGGCAACGAATAAGTCCAGAGACTTCACGCATCATGTCAACTTTGTTCAGCGTATCAGACCCTAAGCTACGACAGCGTTCAATGTAGCTTTCACAACGGATTTAATGGTCACGAACGATCCACACACCAACAGCATAATTTGCTGAACAAGATGCTCTGCCTCCCTAAAACATGAAAAAAATAACTTTTCTTTAAAAAAATAAAAGGTCTTCGTCGCATCTTTGCAGGCGCGTGTGATTCAATAACGCTCGATCCCTTCAAGTCTTTCAATTTTCAAGTAAATTTCACACACGAAACCCTCGTGTATCAATGTCCATTTCACAAGATAGTGAGGCGAGGGACGGACATCTACCTCAAGTTAATCACTCATTCGTGGTCATCTCTGATACGGATGACTTCCTTAGACTCGGCATGACACGACGGGCATGTACCGGTTGAGTCTTGGATCTTCTGGGCGCAAGGCAGGCAGAAACGTCTATGTCCGCAAGGAACGAAGGCAACTTCAAAACTTTCTCCCTTGCACGACGGACAAGTTTTGCCACCGGTAGGACCATCAACGCTACTACGTCGGCTGCCTGTAGAAGAACCACTAGAAGCAGCTTCTGCACTGCTAGCGGCTGCAGGAGTGCCGATAGGAACAGCACCTGCAGCGGAAGCCATCAGCGAAATTGGCATGGCAGATGCCCCTGGCAAGCTGCTCAAGATGGAGGAGCTGGAGGAAACCGCAGTGCCAATAGCAGATACAGCTGACAATTCAGCAAGCAGAGAAGAACCACCAACGGGACTGGAGTTTGAGAGCCCAGACATAGCAGTATAGGGTGATGCATCGAAATCGGGCAGAGCCTCGGGAGATGACGAGTTGCTCCGACGTAGTCCTCCGTTGACAGTCAGCTGTGACAGAGCTGATGACAGAACGTCAATTTTTGGAGTAGGATCAGAGTTTGACCGCTGCACCGAGCCATGATTCAACCCGCGGCTGGGAGACAAAGAACGCGACGCACTTCCGCTTGAGCCGCCGAATGAACGTCCATTGAAGCTGTAGCTGCTAAGAGGCGTCTGATACTTCGCATCACTCCAAATACTTTGAGCAGCCTGGTTCTGATCCAGAGACGGGGAGGATCCCATTGACGACTCTAAAGAGCCAAGACCCTCATCGAGGCCATACATTGACTGGAGAGCAGAGTTACCAGTAGCCATGCTCGAGCAGTTCAGGGACGAAAGGAGACTGGTAGACGAGGAAGCGTGGTCAAGACCAGATCCTTTGGAGTTCAAAATGTTATTAGCTTGTTCTCCCAACAAATTGAAAGGCGAGAAATCGTTGAAAACGTTGGATGCAGAACCAAAGGCCGAGTGGCCACCAACGCTGGCACTATTGCTGCTGAAGGCAGAGCTGCTCCCACTGTTCAGTAGATTGTTGGCGTTCGAGGAGTTTGTAAGCGAGTTGAAACAGGGTAAATCCACAAGGTTGTTAGCAGAGTTAGAAGCCAGCATGTTGCTCAATGACGACAAAGGGTTTATGTTGGATAGCGAATTGTAGTTTGAGCCGAGGTTGCCGAGTGCGTTGTTGGCTAAAACTGACGTCAAACCGGAGTGGCCATTCAATGAACCGTGGGAATGCCCATTTAACAAAGCTGAATACTGAGCGTTGACAGTTGCAAGCATTGAGTTATGCTGGTTGTACCCATTTGAGCTTAGCAACGCATTCAGAGAGCCATGCGTTGCTGACTTAGGAGTACTGTACATATTGTACAGTTCAGCAGCATTAGAAAGAGGATCATAAGGAGGAAGACCCGCATCTTCGTCCAGAAGACTTCCAGTACGCATGGCGATGTGACTCTCAATCTCTCTCTTGGCCGCCTCGACAGATTCTGGCAGTCCGGTCACCTCAAAGATGGGTTCTTTGTCCCTCGAAGGTGTCACGATATACGTTTGCGTGGTTTGTTGGATACGTTTGATTGTCGCTCCCTTCGGGCCAACTACGAGTCCAACAACTCTGTAGGGTACGGTAACGTTGATAGTCTTCTGTCCAGGGACATTAGCAGGCGGGCCGGGAGCCATCGAGCCGTTGATGTTGTTCTTGCGGCAGGCCCGGATTTGGCTGAAATGATCGGCGGCTGAAAGGATCTCACGCTTTGCGTTAGCGACATCCTCCTTGCGACCTGTTCACAAAACGTAAAGTTCAGTAAAAAGATATCACGAGTGGACATAGGTAAGCAGAAGGCAGATTCTCATCTCGAGACTAATCGGTAACCGGCAGATTCCCCTAAGGTAATTACAGGAATTTCCATTAAATGTAATTACAGGAATAACAGTTCTGATACTTGAAAAGTTCTGTGATATAGTACTTGATAACTTTAAAATGATTATTTTTATCAACAGGTAATCTTAATCCTTATTTCTCCGTACCTGTGACGACGAACACCGGCTCTTCCCCTCGCACAGGAGTCTTGATGTAGGTGTTGGTCTTGGCGCGAAGAGCTTTGATTTTGCAACCTGAAAAAAATAATTTTGAGTTAGCCAGTGTAAAATAAATTCAGTGGCTCTCAGTCATCATGCGCAACCAGAAAACAAATCGTCGACATTGAAGAGAACGTAATACAAACGAACTTTGAATCTTTGAGTCTTGGATAGTCCGTCAAAATTGTTACATCCTAATCAACTCGCTGCTAACTAAGATATATATATACGTATTCTGAGAACTTGTTACATTAATATAACAGGAAATAGAACAAAAGTTGAACGGTGATACGGAACGTATTGATTGTCAGTTGCTAGGGTGAGGGAGTACGCCAGTTACGTGCATCGATCAATACAGAGTCCGCACTTGTGCGTCGTAGTGGGCGAGCCACACAAGGGATGTGCAGCAAAACTCATGATAACAAAGGCTTAAACGGTAACTTCGAGAAAAGTTAAAATAAAAATGTAGATAAAAAAACGCTAAACCACCGTAAAAGAATATAACTGAATATTTTCAGTTCATCGAGCTGTCGGAATAATGAACTAGAGACATTACTGATACATCTCTGCAATTAAATTAATGGACTTAATTTACAGCGAGTTCAGTAGTTCACTATGATCGATATACATAACTAGCTGACCACCTACAAGCATTGCGCGAGATTTTAATTACAGATTAATTCAAGTCCACTCTTCATAACTTCAGTGGGACAGTAACCACAACGGCGGCCCAGGCGGACAGAGATAGGGACACACCCTGTAGCCGGCACGCGAGGGAAGTTCCCCTCAAACCGACGCCTATAGCTCATCCGAGGGTCGAACTCCACTAGAAGGTTTGAGATGCCAACTGCCATAGTATATGGCGATACGGCCCCATCATAATTATCTTGAGGAAACAAGTTTATCGGTGCCGTAAAGGCCAACCTGAACATTTAGCCTTTATTAAGCTCGAAATGATATACCAAGCTCTGTACGTAGAAACTACTGCTTCTCTGCCAGCAGCCAACTGTCTCAAAACACACAGCCAGAAATGCAGCGGATTTATTGTGAGATGCCAACTGCCATAGTATATGGCGATACGGCCCATCATAATTATCTTGAGGAAATAAGTTTATCGGTGCCGTGAAGGCCAATCTGAACATTTAGCCTTTATTAAGCTCGAAATGATATACCAAGCTCTGTACGTGGAAACTACTGCTTCTCTGCCAGCAGCAAACTGTCTCAAAACCAAAAGCCAAAAATGCAGCGCATTTATTGAGTATCAGAATCAATTTACCACGTCTTTACACAGAATCAATTTCCACTGTAAAGACGCTGTAATGGATGACCAGATCCTTGTGAAGGAAAACCTGCAACGCGCCTGAAAGTTAGGTTGGCAATGGGAGGAGGGAGGCGGAAGGGAGTCCTGAGGCGAGGATGTGTCGAAGGGTGCGTTCGCCCCGGATACTGACGTGGAACCTGCAATAACCGTGGAAAGGTGGGAAGGAAGACTGGAAGAAAAAAAAATAGCCAAGACACGAGTTGAAATCTGGTGCCAATGCACTCCGATTTAGAAATTAAGAAAATCTCTATTCTTTCCAATAGTAAGAGACTGTAGAGCCGTATTGTACGAGTCCGAAGCGCAGCGCAATGTCGTCTTTCAAAAAAAAAAAAATCAGGCCTGCGGTATTAATTCAGGCGCCAAGAATGCCACTGAAAGTAAACTCAGTAGACCAGACCAGTCTACCACTGAACCACTAACTAGGCACGCCATGATTTGTCGTAAACGCTTAGAGCAGTCGTCACGTTCACACTTGCTTGGTTGAAGCGGTGACTACACTACGGTGCAATTTCTGTCGCAAGGACGACACCGGAAAAACCGCCGTCTACACAAACTTCGCTCACTCTCCTTCAAGAGATCTAGGGCATTCCATTTCTCTAATGCGCTACTATTCTAAACCACGAGTCAACATATTCCGCGCACGTCTCAATACATTTTTACGAGTACGACATTTGTGAAGACTTGTTAACACAATTTGAACCAAGGAAAACGTGACCCAAGTAGTTCGACGTCGATAACTGTCTACTCAGCAAACCGCTTCGACAAAACCACGCACACTTATCAGGAACATATTGCAGAAATTTCCAGTTGCAACACATTTAAAATAGAGCGAATTTTAGAACTAAAGAAGACTTTGGGCTGCATAAGTAACTGTGGGTCAGGTTGCATTTGGTTCTGGTTACATCGCTCAGTGCACGAGTGAACCTTTTAATGCGAACGCAGTTTGTCAGCAATATTCATTTCAACCAAGCCAGCCGGCCATTTCGTGGCATAATTTTCAAGCAACAAAGCCGGTGAACGTTCGATTGTCGGCAAAATCCATGGTTCATAACATGGAGGTCGTCCGATCAACACAATACCATGGCATTCTTATTTTTCACCAAACGCTCTTTGAAAATATACTAAATACTAGGCAATAATCTTTCAAAATAAATTCGACTCTAGCGAGTCAGTCTCCATTCATAGTCGGCAAACAAGAGCAATGCGAGTGTCTACTAATTTTCAAGCGTTCAGAGGGAACCGAGTAACAAATCAGATATATTGCGTCTGGAACAAACGAGTCGAGGCGTTTGGAGGCAAAATGTGTCTCAGGTGCGCATCTCTCGCTTGCCTGCCTGCGATGTGACCTTGAATACTGGTTGGGAGCAATGGACTTCCTAAGCTTCCTGAGCACTCGCATTCTTCCCTCGCAAAAGTCACCTTTACAACATAGTTACGATCGTCAACGTTCGGTCTACGCGCCACAAGCAAACCTTATCAGCAATGCTTTACGGTGACTAAGTACAGAGCAACTGTCTCCGCTAGAGAAGACATCGCGTAATCCAGGCAATAACCAAAACCATATCACATTTGACGATTCAGATACGTCTACCGAAACGGCGCCGAAATTGTACGGATGGGCGCCAATTTCCAAAATGTTAGCAGATTATTTTAATGTCAGTTATAGCGGTGATGATAAACCATCAACTTCAGGAGCTCTGAACTTCAGTTAGCTTTTGAACAGGAATGGACGATACAGAAAGCTAGACAATTCAGAGATGAACATTTAAATACATGACTAAATTGCTTTTCAATCAATAAAATGGGTTTAATGAAATAGTTCGATCTGAAATAGTCTGATTTGAAAACTAGAGCAATAATATAAAAAGAATATTTTCAAGTGATCACGACAATAAAGGCTGCGAGACGAACATGCCAAGAGAATAGGGCCCTTCATTTGAGCGTGGGCCAGACAGCGGCGGCTACCCGTGCCAACAATGCCAAGTAACCCGCACTGGTATGCGCAACTTGCGCTCATTTCCCCAGCGAGACCAGCGGGTAATGCTCTCCTCGTCAACTGACGAGCTCAATACATCTCACTGGGTTACACATATTACCAATAATTAAATACAAGTCATTTTTTACACATTTTCGTCCGTAAGACCAAATGAAAACCGAGAAATAACTTTGCTGAAAAATCTAGACAGAAAAACAATATTCAATTCAATTCAATACTTCTCATTTTGAATCCCGGCCATGGTTATAGACCCAGTGTAACCTGAGGTCACGAGAATGCCCTCTACGGGGCTCTCTACTCGTCTACGGGCGAGCCAGAGGAATTTCCGACACAGCGCTAGTTGCTTCCCGCGCGTCACCACGAGCTGCAAAATGTCTGTCAACATACCCTGACAGTTCAACTACGCACCGCTGAAATTAAGTCATCGTGAGAAAAATAATCATAATAAATTCAAGGCTCTAACGTACACAAATGAAGTTATTTGAACTGCCTCCAGCATGCAGAAGTTAAAAGTTTGCTAAAAATGAAAAGTCAAACTAAATATTGAGTAAGCACCAGAAAATATGTTAAGCTATACACGGGCTAATTACGAAGGCAGAGGTGCTGGATATCAAGCGCGTCACGCCATACAAGACGCACGCAGCATTGCTCATTTTAGATACTAATCGAGACCACAAGAAGTGCGTTTACCTGTAGGCAGACCGACGCTACCCAAGTAAGTGCAACAAACTATTTCAGGGACAAGGCAGAAACGGTCGCATCAGATGGAACACAACGACTGCCATTGACGAGTTATTATGGTGAGGCGCCTTGTCACTCGGAGCAAGAATTTTTTTAAGCATATCTACCGCGAAGCTTTTCTTCAAGTTTCCTCAAACATGTAACCAAAGGAGCATAAATTTTGTTTGAGAAAAAATATTCTTTAATCTACAATACCATCAACCACCTCCCGAGTCATGCCCTATCAGATATGTACGCACGCCGCAAGTGATCTATGATCACGATCGAAAAAAAATGCGCTCGCTCTGTTTTTGACAGTAAAAAAAAAAATCCGAGGTCAATCGCAGGAAATGAACCTGGCATGCGACGCCTGACCTCTCTTCAAACGAATAATTCCCCCTAACTATCAACAAGCCAGCAACTAGATTTTGCACCCAAAATGCGAACATAAAAATTATAAACTTAGACTTTCGACCGTAGGAATTATATGGACAACGGCAGTAGATGTGAAGCATCATGAAGTCATGACCGCAAGCCTAGGCAGGTGATCAGACTATCACGATCATACAAGAAAGAGAACAATAGTGGCTGGTTGTGATGCACCAGCGTTCGCAGTCTCCCAGTCCATCATTTATCCTCCTAGTACCCGATGGTCCTTAATACTGAAGATGCAATCTTCGACTTAAATTGCTCGACGTTCTATTCACTCCGCAACAACGATCATTGCAGGATAGAATTTTCAAACATACACGAAAACTATGAAAAATTAAAATAATTCGGTCGATGAAATTTTCAATAAAATTCCGCGCACCCATATAAAATAGAATCATCAAATAAAATGTAGTCATCGGCAGCCATAAAAAATGGCTGATGAATATTTGCCAAAATTCTTCACAGCGCAAAATGCTCAGTCGTTAAAGCACAATTCTTAATGCGCTTACGATATCAAGCCGCGGACCCTACCGTACTGCAGCGGACTCCGCAATGCAGTCAAATCGC